AAAAGGTTTTGATTTTGCCACCCCATTTGATGTCCATGCCGCCCTAGCAAAATTTCTTTAGATCCGCCCCTGCCAGTGCACATGGTGAAAAGCGCACACGCAAGCTACAGACATTTTCGTTAATGCAGCTCCACCCTTAAGATCGGCCTTACTGGCCGCTAGTAACCTTGATGACATAGCTTCTCTTCACACACACTACATATCGATGCCCCCCCCCCTCCCCTCAATGCCCACGGGACACTTAAAACCAGTCCCAGTTGTTGCTTCCATCTGTATGTCTGCAGCAACACACATGTTAACCTCGAAACTAGAGCACGTCTGCATCGCATCACATCACAAGAAGCATCCGAGGATTTCTCCCGAGCGCGTCCAGTATCATGAAACACGACGATTATTTTTATCATCTTCGTTCCACTCCCAGAGCACTGCAGCTCCGGCGATATGAGCGCTGCTGTAGGCGACAGCATTACAGAAATCATTCACATAAAGGTGCGACGGAGGCCTGCTTTGTGTGTGTGTGTGTGTGTGTGTGTGTGTGTACTAAAGTTGCATGACCAGTACCACACAGCTGGGCTAGTCCCGGTGGAGCAAAGACAGCTACACAGCGGTTCAGTCATGGCGGCTGCAGCGGAGACTGGACCACTAATGGTCGGAGCCCGCCGACCACCGTTTTCCCTCCATGCCGTGAGGTAGCGCGCACCTACTGCGCTGTAACACGGCGAAAGCAGCAGCTAGAGCTCATCTCACCTTCACCATCCCTGTTTTCAGTAAGGAGAAAAGAAAATGCACTACCGGCTCTCCAGAGCCGTCCCCCGCATTCACTTCGCACCTTTGCCCCCCACCAGCCCCTAAGCTACATGCGGTTTCCCGCGGAGCTCACCCGGCCACGCTGCAGAAGACCTCGGTACGAAAGTCCGTCCAACTCCGCACGATCCTCCAACAATGACTGCAGAATGTCCGCTTCGATCTGATCCGCGCCCCCGCTCTGCTGATGCTGCTCCGCGAGCCGCGCGCTCACGACGAGGCCGGGGCGTGTGCAGAGATGCATGGGCAGAGCGCAACCTGCCGGAGATGCACAGATTTAACCAATTCTTTGCTCCATTTAGTCAAGTCAGCTTAGCTAAAGCTGTCACTAAACAGCTTGCTTTCGCAGTTTGCTTTGGTTTATTATCCATGTGCAACCCGTTTTGCAGCATTTGGCTGATTCTGAGCAGAGTGGCTCAGAAAGGCCTTTACACTTCA